TTTAAATTAAGGATTTTTTGATAATATGTTGACAGTCCCTTTAAAAAAATGTAAAACATTTAAGTCATGGGCCTTTGTCTGCAATGCAGTCAAATCTTGTTACTTTAATCATGAAGGGGAAAACATTCAAAATTAGCAGATTTTACAGATTTGGTGGATTTTCTAGATTCTCAAAACAAGATGGCAGCTGCCCCCCTCTCCCCTCCCCCCTCCCCCGGTGCAGTTTTGCACAAGTTTGCAAATTCCTTTCTGTCTAATGTATTAGTTTAGAGTCTTAACTATTGTTATTTCTTTATTTCTTAAAAAATTACTCTAGAAACGAACGATAGCGAATGTGTTCTAACTTCTACATTCTAGACATATTTCTGTCACGTTAAATATTTTTTACTCCAAATACAAAATATTAAACTTTTTTATAAATCCAATCCAAATGTGAATTGTTTCGATATTCAGTATGTGTGACTGTTTTTTGAACTGATGCTTATTGTTACTTACATTGTCCTTATTCTAAATAAACAACAGAAGGGGGGGGGGGAGCCCATTGACCAAAATAGACCGTTAAAACAAAGCCACCCCACCACAATATTACCACGTTTATATACTTACACCCCTTCCCCTATACATACACACAACACACAATACAATACATAAATAAAACAAACAAACTGTAACCGACACCTTTCAACAGTGGATGGAGGATTTAAAAAAAGTAATTAAAATCTAATTTTCACGTTGCTACTTATATGTGGGTGGTTTAGGTCAGAGAAGTGGGGGGGGGGGAGTTCAGCACTGATTACTCTTTATATTTTTTATTTACATCCCTTCTTAATCTCCTATGACCATTGTCCATAGGTGTGAGAATAGTTCTAAATAATACTAACCCAACCCAATGAGCTAATTAGCAATTATAACTGTCCTTTTAGATATATCTTGTTTACGCTCTAATGGCTTAATCTAGACTCTAAGCTCCTAAGCCTTTAAGAGTAGGCCGAAAGGGGTGAACACTAACAGTATAGAGGGGGGGGGGGGCACAACAGTCTCAGAGCCAGGATCCCTAGGTTACAACTTGTTTCTCACCCCATGACTTTTAAAAGTATAATTATATAATAAATTGAACACATCCATATTTTTCCGTATTACACACAGAGCTTTCCATAACATATTGGAATATCTTCAAGCTCTGATGCAAAAGGGGAGAACATTTATGTTTTAAATTTTGCTTCATATAATATATGTATATGAAAAACATGAACTTGAAATCGAATGTTAATAATGTAATGGCAAAACTGCATACAATAATGTTTATATAGCTTTTTTTACTTCAAATATTATTCTTTTTAAAGTTACACACTAGTGACACTAATATTTAAGAACGTACAAAGATATACTTTTTTTATGAAACAAGGATGCTCATAAAGCATGCGTACTATTTAAATAAAAAGTACCTCAAATTTTTCACAATAAAATGAAAATCTATGTATGTATTGGCTTTTTAAAAAAAGGGGAACGGAATTGAGACTTTGCCACAATCTCAGATTTTCTTATGCCTATATTTTTGCAACCCATTTTTGTAGACCTTAGATATTTCAAATCATCTGTTGGATCTAATAATCTAAGTTTGAAATATGAAAGATTTACATTATCAGGATTAGTTGAATTTGAATTGATTGAATTGAATTAATGAACTTATTAGATGAAGTATAGATGGATGAATTAGATGCATGTTTTAGATAGATAGGATGGATGAATGGATGAATGGATGAATAGATGAATATATTGATGGACAGTTGATGGACTCGCAGATGTGAAGGACCAATATGGCTGACAGGAGAAATTGAAAAGATAGGTTGGATGAAGAATAGATAGATAACAACGGACACAGATCAAGGTTGGATTTAAAGAATCTTTTCAGGTAAATCGGTTTGATCCCCTCCTCCCTTTAAATTTTATTCGATTCCAATCAATCCTAGCTACAATATCTTTGGTCTCATTTATCCAGTACCCATCCATCCTAACTATGATATCCTTGGCTGAAACCCATACATCCTTCCTACTTACTATAATATCCTTGATCAGTACTCATCTATCCTAATTATAATAGCCTTGATCAGTACCCATCCATCCTAATTGTAATAGTCTTGATCAGTACTCATCCATCCTAATTATAACATCCTTGATCCATATTCATCCATCCGAATCATAATATTCTTGATCATTACTCATCTATCCTAACTATAATATCCTTGATCATTGCACATCTATCCTAATTATAATATCTTTGATCAGTACCCATCCATCTTAACTATAATATCCTTGATCCATATTCATCCATCCGAATCATAATATCCTTGATCATTACTCATCTGTCCTAACTAAAATATCCTTGATCATTACCCATCTATCCTAATTATAATATCCTTGATCAGTACCCATCCATCTAAACTATAATATTCTTGATCAGTACTCAATATCCATCTACCCTAACTTTAATATCCTTGATCTTTATATCTTTCTATCCTAATTTTGAATTCATGTGTTAGCATTCCGGGAGGTCTTTAATTATATGTTTAAATACCTTTTAATGGCATAAATATACAGTGTCATGGGATTGAGGAAGTATATGTCAAGAATGTGGAACAAGAATAAAGGATCGAATACCCCATTATTGAAATATTTTTAAGAAAGATATCTTCTTCTAAATCTAATTATGACGTTAATACTTAAATACTTCAATTGTAAAAATGCAATTATATAATAGGCCTTTTGTCGTATCTATAGGCATATTCTTTATTCAGTTGTCATTTCCTTCTCCATGCAAGCATACAAAGGAGAAAAGATCATATTGACATTACTAGTACGACTTTGTGACCTCGTTCTTCTCAATAGCTTCTCAATAAGCTCAATAGCTCTTCAATAAGCTCAATAGCTCTTTAATAAGCTCAATAGCTCTTGAATAAGCTCAATAGCTCTTCTATAAGCTCAATAGCTCCTCTATAAGCTCAATAGCTCTTCAAAAAGCTCAATAGCTCTTCAATAGCTCTTCAATAAGCTCAATAGCTCTTCAATAAGCTCAAAAAGTCTTCAATAAGCTCAAGAGCTCTTCAATAAGCTCAATAGCTCTTCAATAAGCTCAAGAGCTCTTCTATAAGCTCAATAGCTCTTCAAAAACATATAAGATTCCAATATAACGTGCAGTTTACTGAAGTTTGGCGTGCCTTGTATCAATTTATATCTGTAATAAAAATTCAAAAATTGGATTTGTTAGGAAGTTCCAAAAAATTGGTCTTCTATTTTTCAGATTGTATTTGTCAAAGTGTAAATAGAAAGAAATCTAAAAAAGCTACAAACATCTTTTTATATACAGAGTGTACCATATCATTAGATTATCTCCAAGCTTTACCGCCAAATAAACACATAATACTAGAAAAACCTATTTTTTGCAAACACATTAATATGTCTTATTCGATTTTGCAAAATGATTCAATCTGCTTAAATTTTCTGATTAGTCCCGAAAATAGTAATTAAGACCAATTTGACGATCTAATATGATACGGGACACCCTGTATATTTAACCTGCAATAAGAAAATAACAAAATATCTCAAGGAATAAGTTCCGAGTTCCGTACAGTAGTCTCTAAGATGTAAACCTTGGTGGGTGGCTCTTTATAATTCTGGGTTACCCACAAAGGAAGAGACTTCAGAGACGACTGTACGAAATATATACTGTCTGTTTCCGTACGTTCACGTTTCACTGGAACCGTAAACTCGATTCTATCTTTGCCAAATCAGCAAATCAGCCACTTTAAGACAATATTCAGGGCAGAAGACATTAATTAAACATTAAGTTGTAATATTTTAAGGATTTTACTTCATCTTTAAAAATCTCATATGGGTAACCCTGTTAGTATATCAAGCATATACTATCTATCTATCTATCTATCTATCTACACATCTCTTCATATTGAGATCTAACACCCGGGGTAATGGTTTGGTGTTCTATTGGGTTCATGAATAAGAATTGACCCACTCCCCCCGACACCCCACCCCCTTCATAGATAGATAGATAGATAGATAGATAGATAGATAGATAGAAAGATAGACAGACAGAAAGAACAGGAAAATAGAAAGATACATAAAAACAGAAAGACAGATAGAGAGATAGACTATGAGACAGATAGACAGATAGATAGATAGACTATGAGACAGATAGACTATGAGACAGATAGACAGATATACAGAACAAACTAACAAACAATGTGAAAGATAAATATAAAATCAAGATGTCGGTTGACAAGCTAGGACTAGTATAAGACTAGATAGCTAGGGTCGAGTAGGATAAAATCACTGTTATTATAATATTACGTGACAAACCATAGAAAAAATATCTTAAAATCATGGTTGGAAAAATTTTCAAATTTATTTACATATTTTCTCTTTATTTTCACTCCCCTCCCCCCTCCCTTAAATAATCTGAAGAAAAAAATATTTTTTCAGTATTCTCAAAAATTAGAATGCGCAGGGCGTCCAACAACAGTAATTTATCCTCAAAGCAACAGTTTAGGAGGCCGTAGAAAATACACTGTTTATTTTTCAACCCCCCCCCTAACCATACCCTCCTTTTATATCGGCGAATATATTTTTAAACAGTATTAAAAAAAAATTTGAATTTTGTTCTCTACTCCGCCATGGAAAAACTAATGTTGAAATCATGATACGAATTAAGTGAGATTTTACTTATAGCTTTAATAGGCAAAACAGGCCAGATACATGGGGGGGGGGGGTAATGGCCGCGGTATTCATATGAAGGGGGGGGGGATTAAAATCGGGTGTGTAATGTGTTTAATCGTTGGATTGTTTTGTTTCCTTTTTAAACAATTCGTCCTGCACTGTTGACGTTTTATAACAGGGATTTTTAGCGCCATTTTTATTCTTTGAAAACTCATAAATTTCGATAATCTTTTTAATATCATAATTCATCTTTTGAATTAAATCTCAATAATAGTTCATGTAATTAACGCTGGTTAATAATTAAAACTAATGGCGTTACAAAGTGAGCGCCAAGTCGAAGATTATTAAACACCTTTTTGCTGAAATAGAAACTAGTTTTGTGAATTAAATTCCATGTTTCTTATTCTTAAACTGCTTTTTTATCTGATAAGACAACAATTGTTGATAACCAGACAACGTTATCAATAAGCAGACAACATTTATTGATATGCAGACAACATTTATTGATATGCAGACAACATTTATTGAAATGCAGACAACATTTATTGAAATGCGGACAACAATTATTGATATGCAGACAACAATAATTGATTAGCAGACAGCATTTATTGATATGCAGACAACAATTATTGGTATGCAGACAACAATAATTGATTAGCAGACAACATTTATTGATTTGCAGACAACATTTATTGTTAAGCAGACAACAATAATTGATTAGCAGACAACATTTATTGATAAGCAGACAACAATTTTTGATATGCATACCACAATTATTAATATGCAGACAGCAATTATTGATATGCAGACAACAATTATTGATATGCACAAAACATTTATTGATATGCAGACAACAATTATTGATATGCACACAACATTTATTGATATGCAGACAACAATTATTGATATGCAGACAACAATTATTGATATGCACAAAACATTTATTGATATGCAGACAACAATTATTGATATGCACACAACATTTATTGATAAGCAGACAATATTTATTGATATGCAGACAACATTTATTGATTATGATAAAAAAGATTTATTAATTAATTTTGAAAGACAAATAATCAAATTCATCAAATTGATTAAAATTAATCAATGATCAAATGATCAAATAATAAAACTATTTACAAAAATCTGCCTATCCTAAGGGCAAAGGAAGAGAGCTTGACACATATCTGCTGGGTTAAGACCGGACTCAATAATCATCTCAATAATATCATCAGTGCAGGCTTCCACCAGGCGCCAGCAGATCTTAAAGGGAATCTTTATGAGTTTTAAAAAGGATAGGAAGATAGGAAAATAGTTTATCATTTCTATTTCTATTTCTATTTTTTAAACTTCATTGGTTTGGAATAAATAATTTTTTTTGTGAACTTAATAATGTTGCACTTTTCATATCTAGCTTTTAGACATTTTACTTAAACTAATACAGTGGGACTCATTAAATTGTGGAATAGAAATACGACATTAAAGCAATCTTTTCTGTATTAGACGTTTTCCTACATCTAATAGTTTTACCCACAAAGGATAAGACTGTGAAGACGACTGGAAACTCTGAAGATATGAAGTTCCCAAGGTTAAATTAAGTTTACTTCATTTAATTATGTCTTTTAATGACGTATTTAATAATTTTAAAAAGAAAGAAACAAATTTAAAGTTTCAGGAAATAATAAAATATGTTTAACACTATTCCTACTGGGGGGGGGGGGTCAATTTGACCCCCCCTGTAGTTTTTTTTACATAACTCAAAAAGTATTGGTCTGAGGCTGTTGAAATTTTCTGACTTTTCTTATATACCCAAAGCCCTCCCTTTAGGACTAAAACCGTGCTTTAATACTAACTGCCTGAGTCCTCAGGCACACTGCCTGAATGACTGCTTTTGCCTGTAACAAACTAAATCTTTGTTTTGACCCACTTTCACTTGTCAAATTTTGATAAAATTTAGCTTTTTGGAAAGCCTATGACATAAGGAAACGGATTGCACAAGTTTTGCGAAAAAAAATTGCAAAGTTTTCGCAAACAACCTGTCAAAGGAAATTTGCACATTTTTAGTTTTTCTTAATTAAAAATCAGGTTATTTAAAATTTTGCAAAAAATTTGCATATTTGAAATGGCATGGTCAAGGGCTTTTCAAAAATGTATAATTTGTCATTTTTTGGACAAATTTTTTTTGCGATAAAAATTTCAATTTTTGAAAATTTGAAAATTCTAAAAGTAGAGCACAAGAGCTTTCTAATGATGTATCATTTGTTATATTTGGACATAAAACATGGGATTTAGAGAGGGGGGGGGTCAATTTGACCCAGCATATCCTGGTTTTCAAGTACCCCAGCAGGGATAGGGTTAACAAACAGTGTTAATTCTATAAAGTCGTCTCTGAAGTCTCTCCCTTTGTGGGTAACCCTGTAGCTAGTAAACTTCCCAATTAATTGCTTTATGTTTATTCTATTATTCGAAATTATAACTTGAGTCTAACAGTTTTATTTATAAGAGACTCAATCTGATTAAATTATCTGTCTAACTATAACTGACTCGTTTGTCACCAGTCTGAAAGAAACTGACTTAAAGGCAGTAAGTCTGCCATAAACTTAAAATTTCAATCCCCTATATCTTGGCAACCTGATGGTACAAACCTTTGATATTCAAAATATATATTATTTGATCTAACATATTTCAATGGTCCACAACATTGGGTTGCAAAGATATAAGGATTAGAATACAGGGGTGTGTGGAAAAGACTCATTGTCCAATATCTGTCTCATCATGTAAAAATGGAATATTTTTCATCAAATCTTGTACTAAATTAATTTAAAAAAGTATTTTTACTAACTTCAAATATCCATGGTATGCCTTCACAAAGATTCTCAAGAGCATGCGCAATCTAAAAGAGTGAACATTAAAATAAAGATTAAATCGAGAATTCGAGACATTTGTTCAATTATTTCTGATTTTACTTAAATGTCTCATTCTACAAAAAAAAGTATAAAAACATTGGATTCAACAAATATTTTATGGCGTAACAAATTCTAGATCTTTTTTCTTGCGTACCTAAAATGAACTCAATATTTCAGTTTTCAAACTAAACATTTTATCAAAAAAGAATTATACTAAACATAATATTCACGACTCATGACGATCCTCAGTGTAGTCAAAATTCGTTGAACAACTCAAATATAATTCCAATGTCATAATGCAAGGAAAGTTAACTGCAGTTGCGTATACTCTGCGTACATATTGAAACCAGTTCTCTCTGGGCGGAATTTGTAAACAAGAATAGATGCCTCAGTGTTCGTTTAGTATCCAAGGAGGTTAAAAGCATTACATTTTGATAATTTTGATAATTCGCATAATAATTTCCTATGACCAGAATATTTCATTGATTTTTTATGTGAAAGATGGATCCCATGTCAGGCTTCGATATCCGTCTCGTGTTTACATTACCGCCCAGAGACAGTACACTGCAGTACAAAAGATGCGTACACCTCTGAAATAACTCTCCTTGCATTATAACCTTGCATAGTTCTATGTATTTTGCGTAAGAGTAGTCATGAATTTATAATTACAGTTTACATTGTGATGTTTGGATAATAATTTGAATGACAATTAGGGTTTACAAAATTTCGATAACTCTCTTTCGCGAAATTTTGAAGAGCCATTTAAAAATGGGATTAAATAATGAATAATGAATATTTTAGATAGAATTTTCATTGAAAATTTTTGACAAACGTTTTTCAATATTTTTGCGAATTTTGAGTCTTAATCTTTTGTTGGAAACCCTAATGATATGTTCTCTAACCTGTTCTTCGTTGTCTAGAAGTACATCATCCAGTTCTTGGAAGATAAAGGTGCACACATCACAGGTCAGCTCATTCTTACCTCTTCATTATACATACTGTGAGACCCAACAAATTGTGGAATAGTAAGACGACACAGTATGATTTTAGATTGTCAAAGAAGTAACAGACATACCCATTTTACTTGATAAGTTGATTTTTAAAATTATTTGGTTTTTATCTAGCCAAAAAAAAATAAGTTTGCTAAGATGTCGTCTTCCGATTTCACAGTTCTCTGGGTCCCAATGTTGGAATGCAGTTATGTAAGGAAGTAACTCAAGGAATCCAGAAAATGTCCTGTATTAGAGAGAAATTTAAACAAACTTAGTGCTGTTCATAATTTTGCATATTTTCCTCCCAAAATCGTCAGTTTTACTTTTAAGAGGAATGTAAATAGACCCAGTGATGCTCAGACTAAATTCCTCCCAAAAACTGCTGTACACACACATAGGTTGATCTCCTCTGTACAATTTAAAGCAGTTTACTGTGTATTGGACAGTTTACATGCCACTGTAAACTGAAGATGGGCGCGAAGCGTCCTAAAAGCCTAGTATAATTACTTGCTTGATCAGATAAAGCTTTGAGTCTGGCATTGTCATCTTTGCTACTTGAAATTATGTTAACAGGTATGAATAAAACCAACTTAAGGCTTGATGATGATGATGATGATGGTGGTGTAGGGAATGCATCTGCCCAGCAGGGTCGAGGAGCTGTTGTACTTTCTAGAATACAAATATCAACTATACAGTGGAATCCAAGAAATATATAAAGACTAGGAACCACCAAATGTTATATGTCGAACTTGTGTACTGCAGTGATATAGAGATCAAAATAAAAAAATTCAGTGGCAAAACATAATTAATGTGTTTGTGTGCGGTGAGGGGGGGGCATATGAAGATCTACGAAAAGATAAGTTTTCATCATTTAGATATATTTTTATTTCCTAGAAACCTAAATTTTCCAAGAATCAATAATCTTTCTTTTTTTAAGATTGACAAAAGTTTTTTAGTAAAGTTTACAAATCGGGCAAAATATGTTCGAGAAAACCAAACGTCATTGAATAGCTCATAGATTGAAAAACTATTTTTATAATCGTTTCTTTATTGTATTGTAGTGATGCTGATATTCGATATTTTTTTTTAAAATGAAAAATTTGAATAGGGTTCTGTAACATCTTACTTAAATAATGCACATACAGGGTCACCTACAAAGGATAAGACTATAATGATGACCTGAAACTCTTTAAATATGACGATCTTAATGTTTTAATTTGATTATCGCTCTTAACTACGTTGAAAAAGATAATATTAATTCCGTACAGTCGTCTCAATCTATGCATTTAAACTCATATTAACATGTTTTAATGGGCCTCCTTAGCTTGATTTGCCTTGTAAACATTTCAACGAACTTGTAATCTCAAATGCATATCTTCTAGACTGGAATTTAAATTTTATAATGCTTGGAATTGAGTCTTTGCAACAAACTCTGATTTTCTAACTTCTATATCTTTGCAACCAAATGTTGTTGACCTTTGATATTTGAAACTATTAATTCTGCTAGAGCTTATAATCTAAGTTTAAAATATTTAAGATGTTCACCATCAGGTTCGATAGATATTGGGATTGGAAAATTTGAGTTTGTTGCAAAGACTCAAATCCTTTGAGTCCAATAAACTGAGTAAAACCCTGACCTTGATAAATAAAACTTAATGTCGGTAGATGGCATTAAAAACATTATGTATTCATTCTATCATTGAAATATTGGGCTACCACAGTAAGTAATAAAAACTGTAAAATATGAAGACGACATTAAAGCGATTCAAGTGTTTTTATTTTACAAAGCATAGAGTTTTACAAGTACTTGTTAAATCATTTATTCCATAAAACGAATCTATTTACACTCAACAATTGCTGTGCCTAATGTTTATCAGACTATTTAAAGTCATAACTTGAGTCTAAAAGTCGTCTTTCTGGTCAGATTTTTCTGGTTCTCACTTTAGCAAATAAGATTTTTGAACTCTATAATCTAAGATGTCTTGGTTTAATCTACGTGCTTTTAAGTAGGTGTACCTGTACCTGTACGGTGTACCTGTACGGTGTACCTGTACGGTGTACCTGTACCTGTACCTGTATTTGTACCTGTACCTGTACCTGTATCTGTACCTGTTGTACCTGTACCTGTACCTGTACCTGTACCTGTACCTGTACCTGTACCTTTACCTGTACCTGTACCTGTACCTGTACCTGTACCTGTACCTGTGCCTGTGCCTGTACCTGTTCCTGTGCCTGTGCCTGTTTGTACCTGTACCTGTACCTGTACCTGTACCTGTACCTGTACCTGTACCTGTACCTGTACCTGTACCTGTACCTGTACCTGGATTGGTTTCAGTGGTTTGATTCTGTGCTGCAACTACTAGCAACAAATAGGAAAAAGCAATAAGACGAAGCATGTTGATATTACTGAAAACTAAAAACAGTTTTAACTTTTCTATTATCTCTCTTCTTATCTTTTGTAAACATTATTGAAATAAACTTATCATTTGTTTTTGAATTGTTTTTGTTTTTAAAATATTGTGTTCATTTAAAAGAATTTTTTAAAAACAAAACTGTTTTTCCGATCAGATAACTAGAGATATATTTATATAATATCATATTATTAAACAAAATTTATTTGAATAATTTTGGAATTTGCTGGATAAAAATAACAAGGATTATTATAAACTCATGGACTCTTCTCTCTGCCCAATTATTAGTATTTTTTTACATTTTCTTTTTAAGTAATTTTTTTAACAAGCATAATAATATTAGAAATATTATTACATTTAATTGTATTCCAAGATATTTACATAGCAACGTAAATATTTTTAGTTAGGCAAGCTTTAGATTGTAAATTTATAAAGTTAAATGTAATTAAAAGCTTAAATAGAATAATTTAACATTAATATCAAACTTCAAAGTTTAAACTACACCACAAAAAGCTACAACGTAATCTGCTTTAAATTGGCATTTTAAAAAAAAATAGGCCTTAAAAAATTCGACTTTGACTTAGTTTGCCGCAACCTTTTTTAAAACAAATCAGCCCAACCAAGCAGGATGGTGAATTTATTATATTTTCTGAACTTGATTATCACATTGAATTTAAGTTTATATAGCTTTGTTATAAATCTAACATATACTTGTAGCAAATATCGTTGCAATCCCTATACTTGTTAACCTGAACAGTGAACATACCTAGATATATTACATTGTACATTGTCGTAAATCTAAATGTACTTATCATTAACCTAGCCTAACTACGTCTGTAAATATGTCAAAACCTGTATTGTAATTAACTTAAAACTACATCAGTGATTGGCTTAACTACGTTAATATATATCTGAGCTAATCTGTAAAGATATGTGCATTAACTTGACCTGTCACATAAATATCTAAATGTACATTAGTTGAAATAGACTCTTGAACAATTACCAAGCAAGAGGAATTGTTCGTCTTATAGCGAACAAGAAACTCCTAAGATTGAGTCCGAGTTGAGGCATTGATAGTTTACAAGATTGTGTCTAAGTTGAGGCATTGATAGTTTACAAGATAGTGTCCAAGTTGAGGCATTGATATTTTTCTAGCTTGTGTCCAAGTTGAGGCATTGATAGTTTAAAAGATCATGTTCAAGTTGAGGCATTGATAGTTTATAAGATTGTGTCCAAGTTAAGGCATTGATAGTTTATAAGATTGTGTCCAAGTTAAGGTATTGATAGTTTATAAGATTGTGTCCAAGTTGAGGCACTGATAGTTTATGAGATCATGTCCAAGTTAAGGCATTGATAGTTTACGAGATCGTGTCCAAGTTGAGGAATTGATAGTTTATGAGATTGTGTCCAAGTTGAGGCATTGATAGTTTATAAGATCATGTTCAAGTTGAGGCATTGATAGTTTATAAGATTGTGTCCAAGTTAAGGCATTGATAGTTTATAAGATTGTGTCCAAGTTGAGGCATTGTATAGTTTATGAGATCATGTCCAAGTTAAGGCATTGATAGTTTACGAGATCGTGTCCAAGTTGAGGAATTGATAGTTTACAAGATCGTGTCCGAGTTGAGGCATTGATAGTTCAGAGTTCAGAGATTGTGTCAAAGTTGATACTTTCTGGTAAAGATAGATTGTGTCCGGTTTGACATTGATAGTAAAGGGACATTGAGTTATTCCTGGATTGATACAGGTTTGAGAAGGTCTTATGGAGTAGGGTATTTACTATATACTTTTTTAGTATTAATTCATTTTAAGCTTTTCAAATTATAGGCACAATAATTGACTACAGTTGGGAATTCTTGAACCGTGGATATCGAGATCAAGCATTGATCTCGATCTTCTGTTAATCTACAGATTAATTTAATCTTGTATTCGATATCCAGTGAAGAGTGTTGTCTGAGGAAAACAAACAGAAGCTGGTAATTTTGCTTTCAACTAATAAGAGAAATTGCAGATATCCAAAATCAAGAGATCAAGCAGATTAAAAGTGCCCAATGTGGATATCGAGATTGAACAATAAGGATCAAGGGTATCCTACATCAATTCTCCTAGCTTAACTACCGATAAACTCATGTTGAAAAAGTGTTCAAAATTCTCATTTATTTGATTTGTTAAAAAATGACAATAAAAGTGAGGAAAAAACTACGGACATAGACCAAGACCTCCACAGATGTCTTCAGGGTTGAGTCCGCTCTCTATGATCGTCTCAATAATCTCATCTGTACATTTTCCAAGCAGATCCTCGCAGATCTAAGCAATAACATATTTTAATCATCAGACTTTTCTTCGACTCAGAGAATTTGACAATTCTCAAAATCTAAGAGATACGAGACTGTAAAAACAACCTGAAATTCTAAAATTATGACGAGTCCAAGGTTGAAATTAATCTTCTTCCTTGAATAAAGTTTTTTTTTGGCTGAATTAATGATTTTGCAATGAAAAAAAAAGTTTACAGTTGCCAAGAATCAATAATATAACTATGAGGCAACAGATAGTATAAATTCTGTACAGTCGTCTATGAAGTCCTTTGTACCTGTATATAACCCTGTATATAAACAAACCTAGTGTTACCCAAACTCTGTATTCTTTGTATTTCCGTACACTTCTAATGTAAGCAGTCGTCGTCGTATGTATTTAATACAATGAAGACGACTTTCGATTAAAACCTGTGGTTTCTTCCAAGCTTTCAAACAGCATGGATACATAAAAACAAAGAGAAGCTGTCAATAAACCGCTTCTCTTTGTTTACTTGTAAACTTGTAATTTGAAAAAAAGCTTTGAAGAAATCCAAACTTAAACAGCAAAGTCGTTTTCATTGTATTAATATAAACGCTGACCACTGTCCCATGACCATGATTTAATCAGAACTATTTTAAAGAATGAAAAAGTGTTCTTTGTTAAACCTGAGTTAAGAAAGATGGTACACTGTTACAAAGCTCCACTAACGCATCAGCGATCTAAAATTAAAAAAACACTCTTAGAATTATTAATTTTGAAACCTCGCACAAACATTAAATAGTTTATTTTTCTCAAAATACAACAGAATTTTGTGCAAAATTATATGTTTTTAAAGGGAGTGACGGCTATGTAAGGTAGTTGAACTGAGTATACAGTGTTGTGGAAAACTTCTTTCAGATTCATTTGAGACATATTGAACTTTTTAAAGATCTGTAAATCCTGAGTTTGTGCGCAAATTCGACGTTCAAAACTCCTACTTTTCAGAATTAATTTTTTTAAATTATTAAATAACGACAATGAAAAATAAAGTAAAAATTATACAGTAATCCAATTAGATGGTTAGGAACATATTTCTCAAAAGAAATTTGTCAATAAATCAATGCTAAAATCGTTTATTTCGTTTTCATTATTATCTTGAATTTCTAATTTTCTTTGAATTTATTCGCAGATTTCTTCAAATTCTTCAAATGTCGTCTTTTCAATAATAATTCTAGAAAATCTGCGAAAATCTTTGTGAATAATGAGAAACCAGAATAATGAGATAATAGAAACTAATAATTAAACAAGATTACTTATTTTCGATGATAAGATTAATTTTTATTTTCTCAACATGTTCCTATACATGACGTCTGTAGTTTATTGTAGAACATTTTTACATTTTATGTCGTCGCTATTTAATAATTTAAAAAAACTAATTCTGAAAACGTATCCACCCCCAAAGTAGCAGTTTTGAACATCGAATTTGCGCTCAAACTCAGGATTTACAGATCTTTCAAAAGTTTAAAAAGTCTCAAATGAATCCGAAAGAAGTTTTCCACAACACTGCATACTCAGTTCAACTACCTTACATAGCCGGTCACTCCCTTTAAATAATTATTTTATTTCTTACATTTCCTTCATTTTCCAATAAAATATCATCCAGGGCTTGGAACAGGAAGGAACATATTGTGCAGGTAACATCATTGTAGGACCTTAAAGGGACTGTTTACGTAATTTCAAGTGGCATGTCCGATTCACTTAACGGTACCCTTTAACCTTCATTTAAACAACAATGAGGAAGATTTTGTTGCACCATGCTTTCAGGGCGCTTGGCGCCCACCTTCTATTTTAATAAAACAATTTATTTTTGTATACATTGTAAAACAGAAACAAAAAAGTTAGAAGATCTCAAAAAAATAAATTTCTTGGATTTTCAAAATTTAATGAAAATCAAATTTTGTATGGGGGGTTAATGTTTGAAATTTTGATCATCCATAAAACTTCCCTGGGGTCATGTAAGGTCCCACACAAGACTTGGCCCCGATCGGTTCAGCCGTTTTGACATATTTATAGATTTTTATTTGAAAGAGTGTTAAATTCAAACAATTTCCATCTTTTTCTCTGATGCATAAATCCACAAGTCGTATTGTTAGGAAAACTAAAATTGATAATTCAATTTTAAGATAGAAACACAAAGATATCCTTTTCATTCTTGGCCTGAAAGAGAATGGTACCGTTGTGAATCTGATATGCCCATTTTTTAATGGATGGTCACCTGAAATTTCTGTACAGTACCTTTTATGATTAAAGGACTTAAATAATTGCAAAAATGCTATTTCTTCTGATCCTTCATGCAAAGATTAAATTTGATTTAAATCGGCCGCATGCAGTTTTACATAAAACCAGGATTATGGATTTTTACACCAAATAATAAGATATTTCCCATTCTCTAAAAATACACCATCCTTTCTCATATATAAACCCAGTCAATTATCAACAAAGGCATTCATTTGGATTTGGAGTTGGAAACTTTTATTCCGGATATAAGCCTAGTTGGATATAGAGCTAAGCCTAATAGGATATATATATTAATTGCTTGGGAACCTAGAGTTGCCCAGGTTACTCATAATTACTCCCGCCGTTTACCCGCACTTGGTCGTACATTACGATTTTAGATATTTCACCCAATGAAAGTTGACCTACTCAACTTAGAATCTCAAAACCAAGCTAAGAACATTCGCGTGGCTCGCCCGATCGGTCCAGGGGTTCATGATCGACATATGATCGGACATCCAACAAACAAAAAAACGACTTTATATATATATATTTATAAATATATATATATATATATATAGATATATATAAATATATAGATATTTAACCTGGAAATTTTTGAAAATCCCGTTTCTTCCCAGCACCATAGATCATCAGGAGTTGTAGTCGTTTCATGAGCTACAGTCGTACTAGTAGGTTCATATCTGGTAGTCTCTGTAGTTGAAGATGTGTCACATTCAGAAGTGGTAGTCTCCATAACAGTGGTAGTCTCTGGTGCAGTAGTAGTAGTCGCTGGTGCTGTAGTCCCCTCAACAGTTGTAGTCTCTGTATTATCAGGAACAGTTGTGTCGATTAAGGATTGCTTACTCTAAAAGATCTGGTATTATTTAGGGATCATATTTATGTAGTAACACTCTATAAATTACAGTAAGAGGACTAACATCCGGACGTGTTTCTCAATTGTTCATATTTTCTAGAAAATTCGATACTTCGAAATTAGTGACTATTGACAACATATCATTGAGAAAATGCTCAAAATGTTTGCATTCCCAGCTTAAAAGCGATATTTTTGCACAGTGAGACGCATGAAGCTTTGGAATAGGACTGTTGGGCTAAAATTATGGTTTTAAAGAGTCAAATGAACATAAAACACAAAAACTGTGCAGTGTACACAGAGCCATTTTACTTCAAATGTGGACTTTTAGGATACTGAAAAAACACTTTGTGCTCGAATGAATGACATCTTCCTATACCACAGTTTTATAAGTCCCATTGTACGTTTTAACAATACATTTAAAATCCTGTTATATCATATATTTTACCAGTTTGGGGAGAAATTTTGTCTTACAGGTAAGACTGGGGCTTAGTAAAGCAAGGAAGAGGATTGTGTAAAGTAACTTCATTTTTTCTAGACTGTACACACTGTACGCTGTACACTGTACACACTGTAAGCTGTATACTGTACGGTGTACGGGAAGTAAGTGAACGTACCTTTGTCGTAAAAGATAAGAGGAAGTAAAATACACGCACAAAAAAGATGTTTAAAAATTTTAATCTTAAATTATTTTAAAAAAAGTGCGAATTAGTACGAAATCAAAGCGTTTAAAGAAAATCAACTTTTCAAAAATGTTAAAAAATGTTAAAAATTTGTATACGTCAAATATTTTCATTTTTCTGTATTTTGCCCTAATTTCAATATTATTGTTTCTAGAATTAAAAGACATGTTTGTAGAAAATTTGAATATAAACCTAATGTAAATATTCTAAGTATGTAAACAAAGATAAAATTTTACTTCAAAATGATTAAAATCTCAAAAGATTTGTAATTTAAAGATTTTTTTGATGTGTTTGTTTTAATTCTCTTTATAATTTTCCTAGCATTGATTGAATATCCTAAAGTTTGAAAGTAAATAAACTAAGATGTCTGCTGGTTTGACTGTTTGTTAGAATCCAGTCAAAACGGCTGAACCGGTTAGGCAAATTTTTTTTTGTGGCATCTCTTATGACCTTAGAGATAGGCGGCCGAAGTAAAATTTATAATTTTTGTTTGATCACCGACTTTTGCCAATAAGGATAACCACATGGCATATCTACGTTTTGCCTTTACGAAAATTTTGTTTTAAATTATGTATTTAATTTTAAGCTGCACCCTGTATACAATGTAGGTGGTATAGCCTACTGTATAGATAAAAAAACCGTTGATATGTGAAGAAGGATTTAGTCTGTGTTGTGTATAGTTTAAGTGAACCAAATTTGCCATTAAATTCAGATTTACAAATTGTACTACATCTTAAAGAAATAGTCTAACAATACATAGTGTTTATACAACTACTTATCCTGTAAGAATAGATGGTTAGATAGATAGAAAAATATATAGATTGATAGATAGATAAATAAGAAGGTAGATATATAGTTAGATAGATATATAGATGGATAGATAGATAGATAGATGAATAGATAAATGAGTGGATAGATAGATAGGATGAGTAGATAGATAGATAAGTAGGTAGACAGATAGATAGATAGATAGATAGATAGATATATAGAGAGACAGAAAGATGGATAGATAGGATAGAGACAGTTAAATAACACACTGAGAAAATAGTTACTCAATTTAAAGATTAAAAGATTTGGAGGAATTGGACGTTTAGCTTAGCCTAGGTTTACTATACAACTAACTAACCACCATTTCTTTAATTCATAATCAACCATATTTTCTTTCCAAATTAAAGGGACTGTATACTATTAAATTTAAAGGGAGTGCATTTGCCCATTCACAACGCAACCCTAAAATGCTTTTGCAGATCAAAAATAAGTAAGATACAAAGTTCTTCTCTTTAAAAATTGATTGTTTCAATTTTGGCTCATCCTTAATTGTGACAATGGAAGATTTTCAGAATTAAACTCTCTTTATTATCATTAATTAGCTAAAGTTTAAAGGGTACCGTTGTGAATCGTTTATAAAATGCCGCTCTTTAAGTGAAATTACTACAGCGACAGTGTCGGGGAAATAATCTCATTCTTTTTCCATAAAAATTATCCGTATTTACGAATATTCTTTTCCATAAAAATTATCCGTATTTACGAATATTCTTTTGCTAATTCTTTCAACCAGATTGTCAAATTTGACCGAATTTTCATATTTTATTTTGCAGAATTTGAGGATTAATCTATCTATCTATCTATATCTAGTTAATGTTGATGAGCTACTTCGAACCTAATGAGAGAACTCATTATTCAACGTCTAGCATGAATGTACAAAAAATAAAAAATATTTTCAAAAAATATTTTTCAAGATTTCTTGAACAATACTAACGACCTAGAAAATCGTTTAATATTAGTCCTTTTTGGGTCTTATTAACAACCCGAGTCAAGAGAGGATTTTAGGGAAATTATTCATTGTGAACTACTCATTTTCAGAAAGGTAAACTAGGTTTCAGTTAAGACTTCAGAGAGAAGGGTGGGGGGTAAAGAAACGGGAGGCATAGGAAAGAATGTTGAAAAAAGGGATTGAAGGGAAGGACTGTAGAAAAAATTGAGGCCTATTGTAATTTACGACATACCTTGTTTATAAAGGAAATACGCAAATCCTGTATTGCGATTAACCAATTTCATGTACGTATATATATAACTCAGTCATACCACTGTAGTTTCAGTAGAAATAAATATATCTATTTACTGTATAGCGCTGATTAAACGATTCATTACTCTGATTCGATAATAAGATAGATAGAAAGATAGATGTTACGGCCATACTATTTCTCTATTGGTTCTGAATAGACAGCAAACACATGACTGAACCATGATTGCATCAGGCGCTAATGGACTCGGCATACAGGAGTGATGCACATATTGTGATTGTTTAACTACGTTATATATATAACAGCGTATAAGTTATAACTTGTAACTACGCTGTTAAACCCTATTCTAATATGAATTAAGAAATACACCTCAGTTGATAGAATAACTCCGTACTGTTTACTGCGAGATAGTAATCCTTAAACCCTGTTTTTATAATTAGGTGAATCGTTCCCTTAGATTTAAGAACGATATATAGCTTGTTGCATAGCTAGGCTTGTGTCCTTGTGTGGCATTTAGAGCATTTGATCGTCCCCATCATTTGGGATCGATATATAGCTTGTTGCATAGCTAGGCTTGTGTCCTTGTGTGGCATTTAGAGCACTGTATTAGTAGTTTTATTTTGATAGCTATGCTTGTGTCCCTGTTCTGTTGGAGTTTAACAGCGACCGAACCTGGATAGATTGGTTCCGAGAAATTGTTATGGAGTTGATGTTCACTACAGGACGGGGGTGGTAGAGAAACGTAAAGAGAAAGGGGGGGGGGAGGATTGTGAGACAATGGGGGGATGGAAAGGGGAAGAGAGAGGGTAGAGAGGCAGGGTTATTGCTGCTGATTATATACTTCAACTCTTAAACTTTACCAAGTATGAAGTTCAAGGACAGTTCAAATTGTTTACTAAATTCTTATTGTACTGTACTTTACCCTAAACATTGTGTACTTTACCCTAAACATGGTGTACTTTACTCTAAACATGGTGTACTTTACCCTAAACATGGAGTACTTTAATTTACAGTCAGTATATATGTATGTAGTATGTTTGTTATTTCTGCTCTGATTAAAATTTATCACTTTTCCGCTCATTTCTCGCTTATTCTTAACCTATTCTATCCTATTTGTTCTATTCTATTCTATTCTATTTTATTCTATTCTAAAATATTCTATTCTGTATTTGGAAGCTGAAGCTTTGGTACTTCACCTTCAACAGCAATTAAACCCATTTTCAGGATTTAGGGGAACAATTTTACGAAAAATAAAAAATAAAGATTTTTGCCAAGTAGCATTTTTTTCTGGAGCATTTAAATGTGTTGTTTTTGCAGCAAACCCAGTTTAGGGATTGTTTGAATGTTGAAAGAGTTGAATTAGGAATAAAGGTATGAAGGAAGGATGGAGTGATGAATGGATGAATGGATTGATGGATGGATTGGATTCTAAAGGATACTAATTGTTATTTAACTAACGGTCAGCAAACTAAATCAGACATACAGTGAACCATCTAGACAGATAGACAGATAGACAGAAAGAAATATAGACAGATAGATGGATAAACAGATAGACAGATAGACAGGTAGACAGATAGACAGATAGACAGAAAGACAGATAGACAGATAGACAGATAGACAGATAGACAGATAGTTAGATAGACAGATAGACAGATAAAAAGATAGACAGATAGACAGATAGAGAGATATACAGATAGACAGATAGACAGATAGACAGATGGACAGATAGACAGATAGACAGATAGACAGATAGATAGATAGACAGATAGAAAGATAGACAGATATACAGATAGACAGATAGACAGATAGACAGATAGACAGAAAGACAGAAAGACAGATGGACAGATAGACAGATAGATCAACAATTAATACAGATATAAAAATAAAAAGAGAAAAAAAAAATTAAAATACATTTTAGGAAAGATATTGGCCGGAAACATAAAATTATTAAACGCTGAACACAGAAATCTGACTCTGTTAACCCCCGAACTACTTTTACAGAATATATTTGCAGAGAAAAATGCAAAAGCGGCGTTTTTAAGAACGGGGGAGGAGGTATATTAAGAAAAAGGGGATGGGGAGGGGGTAATTGCCTGCGGCTAGGCGGTGTAGATACATATAAATTATAAAGTACTTAGGTACTGCTACTTTATTGCTTAACAGTCAAAATCTTCAAAATTTGAGCAAATATAAAATATTGCGAAATATTGCGGAAATATTGCACACGTCATCCATACAGAAAAGACCACACAGAGTGTTGTTTTGAAAGATGGAGTCAATTATTTTATGTGACCTAACATTATAAAAGTCTCATGCCGAATTCAAAGCAGTGCCTTTTTGGCCTTTATCGTCGTTTCTTTCTTAAAGCATTTGCTAAATTCTAACCGTTTCCATGTATGCCTCTGCAGCTGAGGGGCTAAAAAAGAAATGGCAGTATATGACATGGACGGGAGAGGACATAAGAACAAGAGCAGGACACAGAACCTCTCAAAATAGAACAGGAATATTTAAGACAGAAGAAATAAAATTGTACAGAAAAAATATGCAATAAAAAATATGAAGTTGATTAAAAAATAAAAACAGAAACACGGAGCAGAATAGACAGAAACAGGGAGCAGATTAGACAGAAACAGGGAGCAGAATAGACAGAAAAAGAGAACAGAATGGACAGAAACAGGGGGAAGAATAGACAGAACCAGGGGCAGAAAAGACAGAAACAGGGAGCAGAATAGACGGAAACAGGGAGCAAAATAGACAGAAACATGGAGCAGAATAGACAGAAACAGGGAGCAGATTAGACAGGAACAGGGAGCAGAATAGACAGAAAAAGAGAACGGAATGGACAGAAACAGGGGCAGAATAGACAAAAAAGGCAGAAACTAGACC